CCAGGGCCAAGAAGACGTTTGTCAAACATTCCAGGAGGCGAGCCGGGCAGGCCCTAGGTTCCTGGCCTCCCTCTGTGTCTGCAGCTTCTGGCTGGGGGAAGCTGCCAAAGCACTTTCTCCATGAGCCCTGTTCCCTGGTGCTGCAGAAGCAAAGCCTCTACCTCTCCACGTTGGCGCCTCGTGCAGCAGATGAAGTCTGGCTTAGCCTAGAGTCCAGGCCATCCCTGGCCTCTAGCCTGTCCTACTCTTAGGGCTTTGAGAGGTGACCAGGGGCGTGTGCCAGAACCCGTGCACCCTTGCACACTGTCCCAGGCAGCGCTGACCAGAGAGTTGTGTCTGTGGGGAGCAACCCAGTCCCACCTGATCTCCTATGGGCTGGGGCTTCACCGAGGCCAGGCTCTAGATCACAAGGGTCTCTGAACCTCAGATGCTATGGAGCTTATTTTTTTTTGTGTGTGTGTGTGTGTTTTCTTTTATATCAAATAATGCCAATTAAGAGCATTTTTTTTATCAGTTTCCGAAGAGAAAGCCAGTTATAAAAAAAGAGGAGAGTAAGAAGAAGAAAAGGAAAAGGAGATGAAAAAGAAAAAGATTAATGGGGATCTAAATTTAAATTCTGACTCTCTTGGAAAGAAATTAAAAATAAAAAAGAAAAAGATGTCCTGGCTTTAGTTTTGATGCATTCTTGCTTCAGTGGAGAACTCTTCTGTTTGGGTTATTCCTTTCTGTGGGGACTGGCGAAGGTCTAGGACTGACGAGGTCTTTGGCCTTTTTGAGGCAGTTCATGGCTGTCTGCCCATAATCCAGTTTGGCCTCAGATTCTGCATTTGGAATACTCTGCATCTTTTTCTTTTTCTTCTTGTTTTCTCCCCACAGTGTTCTGGAACATTATCCCGAGGAGTATTTTGTTCATCACGGATTCTGATGTTTTTCCTTCCCCCCGACGTCCTGGGGACTGTGTTGCTGCCTTGGGCCTCCTGTGCCTCTGAGTGGCTAAACTAAGGGGTGGCTCTGGTTTGGAAGTTCAGCTGTCAGTGCAGTTGAAGCATCTTGTCTCAGCTCAGCCAGCAGTGAAGTCCAGGAGTGCCAGTCTCAAGAGAGCTCAGTAATAGAACTCAATCAACCAGAGGGTGCAGAGTATAGATCTGCGTTGCCAGTGCCTGGGGACGTCAGGACGGTTGGCTTCCAGGACACTTCTGGCAGACACTGAATTCCCTTGTCTCTGGGCTTTGGTCTCATTCCAAAAAGAGGTTGTATCAAGTGGACTCTTAAGTCATGATGAGATGTCTTGATGATGTTCTGAGCCTTGTTTTAATTTGAGGATTATCTTCTTTTACCCCAGCAAGAAAATATTGAGTGTGATGCCTTCAGGGCCATGTTTACTGTTTTGTTTTGTCTTGTGGCTTTGTTTCCTTACTTTTCATTTCCATTTGTTTTACATAAGAGTTAGGGTTTGGATGTGAGGTGTCCCCAAAAGCTCCTGTGTTAATATAGAGATGTTCAGAGGCTAGGTGACTGGAGTGTGGTGCTGTGACCTCATCTGTCCTTTCTAGTGTGAATGGACTGGCTGGGTGGAAACTGTGGGTAGGCAGGGCTGGCTGGAAGAGGAGGCGCAACTGGAGGCTGCCCTGGAAGGGGGCATCTTCCCTCTGGCCCTTTCCATTCTCTCTGCATCCTGACCCCACTGTGAGCTAAGCAGCTGTCCTCTGCTGGGTCCGTCCCCCATGATGTCCTGACTCATCTTGAGCCCAGAGCATAGGCTGAGGCCTCTGAAACCATGAGCCCCAGATAAACTTCTTCCTGTAAGTTGTTCCTGTCACTGGGTATTTTGGTCACAGCGATGCCAAAGCTAATAAAAAAACAATAAGTATCAGGGCGTGTGGGGAAACTTCAAACAGAGCAGAATAGGAAAAGGAAGACCTCTCATGCGGACGCGGGCAACTTCCTGTCCAGAGGTTCCACTGTTCTCAGTGTCAGGCGGATGCCTCTGGAGGGCAGTGCTGCATGGATGTCATGTGCCCCTCCTTTTTGGCCATAGAACATGTGGCTCTGCACCTTGTGACTCTGCCCCTCTAGACCACGTTTCTGAGAGATCGTTCCATAGAAACCCTACAGAACTTCCTCACTCTTTGGAATGATTATGTAGGATGTCTCTGAAGGTGCAGCCCATGCTCCCTGGTATGCACAGCCCTTGACCTCAGCTCAGTCTTGGGCTGTTATGAGCAGTGCCATGGTGAGTGTCCTGTGGTGATGATGCTGTCGGCTTTGAAAACAAAGCCATTGTGTAAGTCCGCTCCTCTCCAGACACTACGGTTGGTGACCAGAGAGGTCTGGTCTGAGTGGTGGAGTCTGGGTTCATGGAGGGACCCCCAGTGGCTCTACCATTGCTTCCTGTGGGTGTCTCATCAAGGCTGGTGTTGCAGACCAGCAAGGTGTGGTTTGGGAAGAGCTCTTGACTGGTCTCACAGTCCCCCAGATGAGAAATAAGATATTAGTAATGTCCCCGAGAGTTCCAGGTCACTGTGAGGAGCTGAGGAGCCAAGTGCAGTGCGTGGGGTGAGCCTGGTTCCACGTGCCATCTAGGGAAAGCCGCTGAAGACAGTCCCACTTGAATCTGAAGTTACCAGACCCGAGTCAGTTTTTAAAAATATTTTAAACTTCTGGTTTATAAAAAGATAATTCAGGATTAATAGCCTATATGGATATTGAAAATATTGAGCATTTTTTTTTTTGTTGTTGTTTATAGAAAAGTAGGAGCATACTTTTCTAGAAGGTTCAGAAATGTCTGTCCCTTGAAATGACCACAGTTCTTTCCTCACACCCTCTGCATGTCTGGGTTTTTCTGATTGGATTCTGTATGTAAGTGATGGTTTCCCTGGGAACCTTATATGCACAGCCCTTGACCTCCCACTCCCGCCTGCTGTGGAATCGAGGTAGCTATGCTCTAGCAAGCTCTAGAAGGAAATAGACATTTCTGTTATTTTGGCATCAATCGGAACTGTGGGTTCCCCCCTCCCCCGCTTCAGTTCTCAAACTAAGAGTGTAGGAAGTAGCCAAAAGTTCTCATCCACTGATGCTCATGATTCATGGATTCAGTATGAGTATGGCCTGTGTGCTGCACTTACATTCAATACCTGGGTGATTAGGACACCATAGAATCCATTCAAGAAAATTTAGTTACAAGATATGTTTCCATATAATATACATAGCAAATGGAAGATTTAGAAGGTTTAACTTTGGGGGCTATAGTTCAGTGGTAGAGTGTGTGTTTCAAAGACAAGGCCAGCCAGGCACAGAGGCCCACACCTGTAATCCCAGTGACTTGGGAGCCTGAGGCAGGAGTATCAGAAGTTCAAAGGCAGCCTCAGCATCTTAGCAAGGCTCTGAGGAACCTAGTGAGACCCTGTCTCAAAATACAAAATGAATAACTTAAAGTTATTTTATTTTAAGGGCTGGCTCAGTGGTTAAGTGCCCCTGGGTTCAATCCCTGCTTAAAAAAAAAAAAAAAAAATCAAATAATAAAAGGACAAGGCCCTGGGTTCAATCCCAGTACCAATAAATAAATAAGTAAATTGAAGTCTTAGAACTTAATTAAAATACATGCATTTAAAAAAAATCTTTTAAAATAGTGAGATCAAATATAGCAAAAATCCTAATTTTTTTCTCAGAAATGAAATGAATATATAAAATTGTACCTTTCTGTCTTTGGTCCTGACCTAGAAACTAAAGCGTGGTTGTCTTTATTATATATTAGCCTGGCAGAAGTGAAGCAAATTTGACTGATGAACTGGAGGAAAAACTAGAACTATTTTTTGAGATAGGTCCTCATTGTATTGCCAGGCTGGCCTTGAACTTCCAGACTCAGGGACCCTCTTGCCTCAGCTTCCCAAGTGGCTGAGACTATAGGCATGCACCACACCCAGCTTAGCACTTTCTAAAATGTTTTCTTTTTTTTTTTTTTTTTGTGTGTGTGTGTGTGTGTGATGGCGAACAGCAATCATGGATATGTTAAAGGATTTAAAACTTTGATTTTTTTTCTTTCTTTCTTATTAAAGTTGTTTGGGGAGTTACTGGAGAGTGACATTGGCCAGATCCATGTTTCATATAGTGTGCATGTACAGATACATGACCCCATAGTGTCATATGCAGTCTTAGGGAATAAGACACGAAGATCCTTGCACACACAGTTATCTCCATAGTAATAGAAAAAACTGCAGTGTCCTACCATAGCCCTAATAGAGACATTCCTACAGTTCACCAGTTTTATTCAGAATGCCCAGTGTGGTTGGGGGTGGAGCACTTGCTTAGTGTGTGCAAGGCCTGTGCCACTGTGCCCAGCTTGGGACTTCTTTCCCAGGGCAAAGTTCTCGATGCTAAAAATTGAATGTTGGTAAGTGTAAAATAGATACTGCCTGCCTTGGTACTGTACCAAGTAATCTGTCTCTCACTGATTTTCCCTTTGTAAGATCAGCTATTTGTTGTTCTCAGTCTGATACTTGCTCCTAAGTGGAGCTGAGATTTCTTGGGGTGTCCCTTTCCAAGAAAGCATTAACGGGCTCCTGCTTGCATTGAGTTCCCATATTGCCGAACATTCACCCAATCCTCCATGGTCTTGCGCAGCCACTGAGCACTGGCGAGCACATGCCCTCGTCAGCTCTTGGGAAAGTGCACACACAGCCTTAGAGGTCCTGGTGAACTCTCTCATGATCTGTGATGACCTTTGTGGAATCTGCTTGATTTGCCATTGTGTTCTATGTAAAGCTTAAGATGTTCTCTGCACATGGAGAAGATGTGAAGCAAGGTTCCCAACAGACAATAAAACCAAGACTGGGTGATCAGGAGTGAATTGAATTAGGTAATAGTTATTTAAATAGCAAGGCATAACCGGAAAGTGCTGTGGAAGGAGTCTCAGGAATCCATACTTAAAAAGCACGACGCATCTTCTTTTTGATAAGGTGTCCTAGGCCCTGTCACCTATCCTATGTGTGTTCTTCCTCTAGTGATGAGTCACCAACACCAGCAGCAGATGGCGCCCAGCACCCTGAGCCAGCAGAACCGCCCTTCTCAGAACCCAGCCGGGCTCATGAACTTGCCTACCGCCTTGCCCACCGCCCTGACCACGCAGCAGCAGCAGCAGCAGAAGCTGCGGCTGCAGAGGATCCAGATGGAGAGAGAGAGGATCCGCGTGCGCCAGGAGGAGCTCCTGCGGCAGGTAGGCCTGCGCGGTGCCCCTGGAGGTCCTGCGGCCTTGGTGGCAGGACTGATGGCAGCCAGGAGGAGCTCCTGCGGCAGGTAGGCTGCTCGGTGCCCTGGGAGGCCCTGTGGCCTTGGCCTCCGTGGCAGGGCTGATGGCAGCCAGAAGGAGCTCCTGCGGCAGGTAAGCTGCATGGTGCCACCGGAGGCCCTGTGGCCCTTGTGGCCTTCAGTATGAGCTTCCTTTGTCTGGAAGCCCTGGAGGCCCAGAGCCCAGCTCTAAGCCTCGTGGTAGAGTGGGTCTCTTCCCCTGCTTCTGCCTTCGCTGTGGTGGGAACCAGACTTGCGTACAGGAGGAGCTCTGGCTGTATTTGCACGGTGGCCTTTGGCTTCCACTGCTAGCGCTTAGTGCAGTTTGTGACGTGTGTGTCACAAACTGCTGTGTGGCTCTCTTCTCCACACCTCCTGGCCTGGAACAGCCATTTCACTGTGTCACTCAATTTTGTAGGTCAGGAATCTGGAAAGGGCCCAGCTGGGCTCATCTTCCTCTCTGTATGGCATTGATGGGGTCACTTGGTGGTAGTCACCTGTTAGGCGGGATGGTCCAGAGGGTTAGGTGTGTGGTGCTGTGTCAGGGATTCTGGAAGCCTGAACCTGACTGGACTGAGGTCTGGTCGTCAAGGAGGGGTGTCTATAGCCTCGCAGTGTGAGAGCAGCAGGGTTTACTCCATACTGCTAGGTCTCCAAGAGAGAATGTTGACAAATGGGCCAGTGCCGAGGGCTGGTTCTGGAAACTGCTGTGGAGCTTCTCTTGCTGTTCTTGGTCAGATCACTCACAGAGCAACCCTGGATGAACAGAGACAGCAAGGGAATGTTCCACGGAAGCAGTGACTCATGGTACATGTCCCTCTGGCCTACCACAGAGCATGAAAGAGAATTGAAGGGAGGGGGGAAACCGGCTTGTCTGTGGACCCTTCTGTTCTGCAAAACGGCCTGGGCATGTTGATGGGGCTCTTGTGTGCCTCGCTCCTTGCACCCCACTTTCTGGTCAACAGAATGTTGCTTTGTGTCCTCTGAGGGTCAGGCTCTGCCCTGTCCTTCAAGCATGAACAAAAGAGAACCCATTGTCTCCCTGCTTTAGTGGCTTGGTCTGTGGTAGAACAGTATTCTTTTTTTCTTTTTAAATAATTATTTCATTTTATTTATTTATAGGCAAGCACTCTGCCACTGAGCTGTAGCCCTAGCCCCAGAACAGTATTCTCTTTTTGGGGTGGGGATGTGGTACTGGAGATTGAACTCAGGGGTGCTTGACCACTGAGCTGCATCCCCAGCCCTATTTTATATTTTATTTAGAGACAGGGTCTCTAAATAGGTCTTTAGAAAGTTGCTTAGCACCCCCCCCCCCTTTTGCTGAGGCTGGCTTTGAACTGGCCATCCTCCTGTCTCAGCCTCCTGAGTTGCTGAGATTATAGGTGTGCACCACCGAGCCTAGCCCCAGGAGAGTATTCTTTTTTCTGTGTTGCTGAACTAAATGTCATCCACCTCTGCAGGTATCATACATTTTTCTGGCTTTATCTTAAGGAAAAAAGCTTCAGTTTATTGTTCTAACTCTTTATAATGACTCAAGGGAAATGAGATACATGGCTAGAGTCTTTTTGCTGCTTTAAGGAAATAAGTAGATCTGGCTGTTCCAGAGAGCTTTCTAATGGGGAGTCCTTGGGGTGATAGGGTAAACACTTGGAAAAATACCCAATAACTTCCATTAATGACCATTAATGTATTTCCTATCAGATCAATGCTAGGATATAAGGCATCTCTTAGTACATGAGGTTTAATGGGCATGGTAAATGAAAATCACTTCTTAGACGTGGCTTTTGAAACAAGGGGAGTGAAGTACAGTGTGCCCTGCTGCTGGCTCAGCCCCCAAGCAGAGTAGAGAGGCAGCTCCAGGGTTTCTGCCTGGACTCTCGTGGCTATTTCAGGGTAACAGTTGTTGATACCGTTTTTAGATATACAGGATCATGTTTCTTGGCAGGAAATCATTGTATTATTGTTTTCTGTCTTGGGTGATGATTCTACTTTATACGGCATTATGGTAGCTTTTGTAGGTTCTCTGTTAGTTTCATATTTCAATGAGCTTGCTGTGTTAGTGTGTGAGGAGACCTCTTTGCAAAGAATGACTTGCTTTTGGTTTTGCCTCCTTGCTGTTTCTCTTTCTCTTGTCCCGCCTTCTTCTTTCCCACAGAAAGTATTTCTGGGAAGGGGTGGGAAAAAATGCCCCAGAGTGTTGCCTGATTCCAGCTGTAGGTGCTTTTGAACCGCAGGATAATATTGATGGTTCATCTTACATGCCAACCACATTCCTTAAATGCTGGTCCCTAGAGGCTGTGGCACTTGGGTCATTTTGCTGCATCATGGTGTGCAATACCCCATGGAGCCCAGTGAGGAAGAAAGGCTGTCCAGTGTCACTGGAGGCCCCCACTGCCCAGCCCTGACTGTGTGTGCATGTGTTAAATGTTGTTTGGAGGAGATGGAATGGATAGTTCTGATGTCTTTTTGTTTTTGTTATTGGACAGGAAAAAAAGGTCTAAATAGACTTTTTAATCCTGGAAGGTTTTTTCCCCTATCCTAAAGCAACATGCCCCACCATGTCTCAAAATTGTTTTTGAAGGCTGTCTAATAAATGGTGGGGAGGAGTGTCCTATTGCAGTTTTCTGAGCATCTGTCAGGAGCTCTGATAACACAGGTGTGGATTATTCATATCATTTTGATGGCTGTTTGACTACTTTCGTTTGGTGACTTTCCTGCTTCTCTAATTGTACCAGAGCCAGGGCAAGGGCAGAAAATGGGCTGGATGGAAAAGTGGTCTTTGGCTTCTCTGCTGAACTGCCTCCCCCATGAGGTAGGAATTTGCAGGGATGGAGCAGTGGTGATCCCACAAGATTGAAAAGTCATCTATAGACTTGCATTTGTTCCTTCTATCCCACCCATGGCCTTGGTCATCAACAGCTGCCTGATGATCCCTTGCTTGGCGGGCAGTTTGTAAAGACCTGGCTCTCCTTGCTTGTAGGAGATCCCTAATTGTGTAGCCTGTCTTCTTAGGCCCTGGTCCTGCAGGCAGGCCCAACCCTCCTGCAATTCTACCAAGGGAGAATCTCCAGGGGAGGCCCGAGCTATGCTCTGACTCTATAGGAAGTAGAGAGGTTGATGAAACTTAGTAAGTCGAAGAATTTATTTCCTAATTCCTGCGACATTGTCACTTTTGCATATTTTTATCATTCTTAAATGACATGATGAATGTGAAAGATCCTGAAGTGATCTACTGTGTGGGTCCTCAGCTGTGCTCCTCCTCCTACCCCTACTCCTCCTGCTCCTCCTCTGCCTCCTGCTCCTCCTCCTACCCCCTCCTGTCCTCCTGCTCTTCCTCCTACCCCCGTCCTCCTCCTCCTCCTGCTCTTCCTGCTCCTCCTCTTCTTCCTCCTCCTCCTGCTCCTCCTCCTCCTATTGCTGCTCCTCCTGCTCTTTCTCCTCCTCCTCCTCCTCCTCTTCCTGCTCCTCCTCCTCCTCCTCCGTCTCTGTTCCTCAGCATGTGGCGTTAGATGATGCTCCACTAGGGAAAACATCTCCTTGGTGCTGTGCACCATCTGACTCATACTTCACGATACCAAGGAGTCATGTGTGAGTTTGCTCGCACTAGATTCTTAGTGCCAGGATTTTAACAAAATGGGTTAGCACAGGATTAACAAAATGGGTTCAAGGACCAGTTGATAACAAATTTAAGTGAAGCACCATTATTTAAGGGTGGAAGCTCATTTTTTTTTTTTCGTTTGTTCCTTCGTCTCCTCATTCATCTATTCACTTATCCAATTTTATATTGTAGAAAGTAATAGAAAGATAGCGGGACATGGGAGGCAAACTAATTAGACCGAATTTAAGTTGTGGCCAGAAAAGTAAATTAACACCATTTCCTCCTTCATGAGGGCCCAGTGGTTGCCATATTTACTTTCAAATTATTGGGGATGAGACCACACACACACCAGACTTCTGTGAAAGTGACAAAAGTTGTTTCTTCATCTCTTTCCAGTGACCCTCAGACTAACAGGCAGTTAAACAACTACAGAATAAATGGATCAAAGTGCCAGTGAGGTTTGGTATTTCTACTGATTAGCAAACTTAACTAGGAGAAATCCTTCACTATGATTGCAGTCACTATGATTCAGCAATGGCTGCTATATCACCAGAATTGAACTGCTTATATCTGATAATTGATGAATTATCTCAGGATGTGACAGGAACTTCAGATGGAGAGCACCATGGAGCTCTGGGAGGTCCTGTCAGGTGTTCTGCTCAGAGGCTTTATTACAAAACTGGATCTCTCCCTACTTTCACCAGGAATCTATCACAGGCATTATAGAGAATGAATTTTCATGAAAGCCATTCTCCATGTCTGTGATAGAGTTCTATCTATTTATCTATCTACTTATCCTTCCAAACTGTCTATCTGGGGAGATTTGATCCAGGACCTCACACATGCTAGGCAAGTGTTCTACCACTGAGCTGCATCACCAGCCCTTTTAATTTTATTCCAGGACAGGGTCTCACTAAGTTGCTGAGGCTGACTTTCTAGAACTTGCCATCCTCCTGCCTCAGCCTTCTGAGCAGCCAGGATTATAGGCATTTACCATCACGCCTAGCAAAAGAAAGCAATTTTTAGTACAAGGTTTACTTTTCTTTTATCTTCATTCCTGGCATAGTTTTATTTTGACCATATTTTCCAAAGGCTACAAGGTAGCTTCAGAATCATCCCCAAAATGACAACCTGAGAAAAGAAAGCAATTTTTTTTTGTGGGGGTGGGCTACTAGAGATTGAACCCAGGGGAGTTCTACCACTGAGCTACATCTCTAGCCTTTTTATTTTTTAATTTTAAGAATGTGTCTTATTGAATCGCTCAGGCTGACCTCTAACTTGTGATCCTCCTACCTTGGCCTCCCAAATTGCTGGGATTACATTACTATTGT